ATGGATGGTTCACTCCAGTGGTGGATATTGGCAGGTCTTAACAAAGTGTGAAGTAGTGGAGCAGCCCACGTACTCGGCTGGCCAGGCCGGGCCGCGGCGGCTGGGAGAGAGAGAGTGTGAGGGAGAGAGAGAGAGGAGCCGCGAACAGTACTGAGGCGCCAGGCGCCGTATGTTCAGTGATACAGTCGTGCTGCTCTCTCAAGGTTTTCGGAAGTCTCGCAATAAAACGAAAGTCGTGGAGAGCTGCACAGGGGATGGAAGTTCTCAGTGGATAGACGGCTATGCGTTTCGAGGGGTTCCCTGAAGGATATACACTGAAGGATACACAAGCCAGCTGGGGAAATGTAATTACCTGGCTCGAGTAGTAAGAGGTCTGACAGTTGCTCCCTTGTCAATTGCATGACTTAACACAGTGCATATACGTAAGCTGGAATGTAGAATGTGAGTTGAACAATTGTCCTGGGATTTCCCATTACCCTAGATGGGGGTATATATTAATGTTTCCAAATATTCCAGTACAGATATAATAATAAATACATATTCAGGCTCCTGCATGGGCCCGATTATGACTTGTTCTCTTTAAAGGGTAATGTAAGCCTTTACAGTGCATTAGTGGAAGAAATGTTGTTTCCTTCATGAAAAGCTTACCACGAGCTGACTGTTGTGACTTATTTTCTGCAATTTATAATTCCATCTTGTGGCATGGCCTTCATGTAGTTGCAAGCCTGTGTTGGAAGGAATTGTGTCTAAGCATGTCTTATGACTAGATAGATCCTCTAAATATTGATGTAGCATATTTATAAATAAAGAGGAGAGAGCCTTTCAGAAAGTATGCTTTCATAATAGTTTTTAAACTATAACATAGGTTTTAAAATGTTTGCTTTCAGTGATAAATAGGTTGAAAAACCTTTATGAAACGCTGGTTTCTTTCACAGATTGATTTGAATTTTTTATAAACCATGGAAGAAACTTCACTGGAAGGATTATTTTTTGATGGACCAACTACATCTACAGAAGGGTAAGTAAGTAGCAACAAAACAATAGTTTTAACAAATGCAAGCGCACACTTATTTTCTTTTCAACTTTATCCACTTTTCTCACCATCATACCTTATTACAAACACCTTTTCGACATGCATAAATAAGAATTTTTCAGTAATAAAGAAATGGAAGCATCTTGGCCCTTGTAAGTGGACAGTTATGGTGAGTGTGAAATTTGAATGTGTATTTACTAAAACACTAATTTTGCTCATGGCTTAGTGAGCCTAAGTGCACTTTAAAGTACCCTGTCCCCTGTGTCCAATTTCTCCATTCCATTGTTCTAGTCCATCTTTAGCCTCTTTACTTAACCCTTCCCATAAACTTCTATGCTGCTCTAAATGAAAACCAGTCTTAGATGTTTTCTATTTTGATTGAGAGAGTGGAAAACCCTTATACTTATACCCCCTATACCACACTCACACACTGTGGACTCGCAAGTTTGTTCCACTTAGGCCTCCACCAATCAGCTTGTTTCACCAGGCAGATCAGAGGCTCCTTTTATTCTCCTCTCCTTAGGAAACCAATTCAATCTCACTGTGTTTCCAAGGCAGGGCTATGCCTGTTTGGCATATCCCTAATTAAAAAATCAATGGCTATCTGAACATGGGCCGCTTCACCTGGAGTCAAAAAAGCAGCTTTGCTAAATACTTGTAGCCTTGGAGCTGCTAATTCATGGAGGTTTCGATCTTTGCTCCCTTGTGGATCTACAGCTGTAGAGGCATTCCTCTTACTCAATGGGCTTGTGTCAATGGGCAAATATGGTTTACTTTTATTTGCATCCAAGTTACATTTAAGATCTTTAGAACAGTTGGAGAGGCTTCTGGTGCCATTGAGAGGTCATTCATAGTGCATTTGACATCCTTCTGACACGTATTTGACCTCCTTCGACCTGCTTTTGTTTTTTGTTGTTGTGTATATGGGGAGAAATGCAGTTCAGATGTGAACAAAAGCCAATGTACACATCATGCCATATGAAAGTATAAATCTTCTTTAATATGTTATTATAATTTCTTGTACATTGTTTGCAAACATTGTTTGTTTTTGTTTAGTTTATAGTTTTTCTGTAGTTAAAGTATGGCACCCCTATTCATTTCCTTCTTGAATGTTGAGGGCTGTAATATCAGCTGTCTTCTTTGTCTTACTTTCTACTTTTAGTATTAATTCTCTAACTAACCAAGAAGAAATTTAATATAGCCGCTAGTAGTATGCAGTTATTATTAAGTGTATTTATGTGTGACTTTTAATTACAGTACTAGATGGGATAAAGAAAACCTAAAAAGTTGGCTTTGTAGACCAGCTCCTTGTATTGATGACATTCCAAACACTGTAGATCTGCAAAAAGAAGCCGAAATGCAGTTTGCAGGTAGAAATATTGTATGCGTGTATAAATCTATGAGAAGTTAACACTTAAAGATTAACAAGACTACAGGCAGTCCCTGAGTTACGAACATCCAAGTTAATTACGACTCGTACGTATGAACGGAGGTCCCAGGCTGTTCCACTAGTTGTAATGCTACCATGCTCGTGCCAATGTTCGTAGTACTGTACCTCTTGTACATTACAGGAGGTTGTTAGATGTGCAGAGGAGGAGTAGGTCTGGTTCGTAGTGCTGTACCTCCTGCACACAACAGGAAGTTGTTAGACGTGCAGAGGAGCAGTGGGTCTGGTTCGTAGCGCTGTACCACATGCATACAACAGGAAGTTTGTTAGACATGCAGAGGAGGAGAGGGTCTGGTTCGTAGTACTGTACCACATGCATACAACAGGAAGTTGTTAGACGTGCAGACAAGGAGTGGGTCTGGTTCATAGTACAATACCTCCTGTACATTACAGGAAGTTGTTAGACATGCAGACAAGGAGTGCCTGCCTCTTCTTCCGGGTCTGGTACTATACATTACAGGAAACTGTACAAACATCTGTCCAAGTTGCATTTGAAGTAGAACTCCATGCAAATTTTATTTTTTTATTTACATTTTTTTAGAGCCACTGTAAGGACAGCAAAACAAATGTTACAGGGGGTTAACCCTTCCCTATGCCATCCAAAACTAAAAAATGTTTTTTTTGGCTGGAGTTACACCTAAAAAATGCAACATTTATTTTGCAAAACCTGTTTGTTGCAATGTTATCAAATAAAATGTAATTTGAATATATTAATTATACATATTAATGTATGTATGAGAACATTTGATTTTACCCCATTTGCACCACAGTCAGAACTTATACATTAGGTGAAAAAAATCACTAAAACTAATGCTGCTTAGTTCTCACAGAGCAAATGTACAAACAGTTTCACAGGATGAATAGCTATAAAAAAAAATTATTAATAGACCCCAAAGTGTTGCTTGTCCATGTGTTTTTTTTTATTGTGCAAAGTTTGCCTTACAGTTATTCTGTCATCTGGAAAAAAAATGCTATAAGATATAAAATGCAGGCACCTGCCTACACATGCTGCTGCTCTGGCTGAATCTCAAGCCATTCTGATCAAGAAAACAACACTTCCTTATAGTGTTGACGCTTGCACGCACCAATTGGCTTCCCTAACATTCCTATTTGCCTGTGAAGCAACCCCTCCTAGTGATAGGCCAGTAGAAATTTGTTGGAGGCAGAAGGGAAGGGGCAAGCTTCAACACTACAATGAAGGATGACAGGTTTACTTGAAGTCCAACACCAGGCAGAAGTTTTGGATAGAGTGAGGAAAGTGTGGAACTTTAATGCTTGCTTGTTTACTCATTGGGATTTCCCCTCATATCTTGTCCTATGAGAGAAATCTTTCCTGAGAGGGATGCTACAGCAACTTAACAAGGATTATAACCAGTACACCGTCCTGAAAAAAAAAGGATTTTATTGCTTCGTCACAGGAATTTCCTTGCACATCTCACTGTATTGCATAGAAAAGGTCACTTTAAAGCAACACGTAGTGTGAATAGGTCCTAAAGCCAAATTTTGGTTGTTTGGAAAACTGAGAGTTCATATAAGCATACCTTTCAAATGTCTTGCTGAGGTTTTGTATCGAACTGAGCTCCTGCCCCAGCACAAAATTCATATTTCCTTTGGTGAAAATTGCTGATTGGAGAGAAGTATTTGTGGCAAGGCAGGAAGCCTGTCAGACACCTGCAAGAACCTGCTGTTATCACACCGAGACCAGCAGTCTTTATCTACAGCCGGCTGCTGGGATTATGAATTGAGGGCTGGCGCTGGAGCTATAAAGAAATAAAATAAAGACATTTAAAATGGTATGTTTATATGCCCCCTCAGTTGGGTCTATTTTGTGTTCCAACAAACTACAATAGGACTTTAAAAACCTCAAGGAATTTAAAAAACATACCCTTGCAGCTGGGCTCATTTTGTCTAGAGGAATCAAATAAAGCAGATATACTCACCTAATCCTCCGTGCTCACCTCTTTCCCCCCTCGCTCTGGCTGTGGAATATTCCTTGGTGTCCTCACATCTAATTCAAGTCAATGAACTAACATAAGACGTGATGACACCAGTGGTCCTTAGACTGCCGGGGCTCAGGGGTGAAAGGGCTGTGTGAATAGTCTAACATTCTGATGGGACTAAGTATCAGGTAAGTATGTCTGCTTTATTTGAGCCCCCTAGAAAAAAAAGAGCACTTAACACTTGCAGTGTGTGTTTTTTTAAATTCCCAGAGTTCTTCTTTAAAGTGACTCTGTTGCTAAAAAAACAAAACATCTACCTTGCTTGCTGCTTGAATCTTCACATCTTTGCCCTCTTGCAGAACTACGGCCTTCGGCAGAATCTTCACATCTGACACTTTTGGGAATGTCAGATGCCTGCGCCTCCCGCTGCGCATTGTAGTGCCATTTCCTGGCTCCTATGTCATTCCTGTATCCTGTAGTGACATAGGGAGAATTAAATCACATTGTACAGCAGGAGATCAGGCATCCAACGCACCCTGAAGATTCTTACAGAGCTCCGTAGCTCTGCCAGAGAATGAGGATGCAAGGAACAGGAAGTAGGTGAGTATAAACCCTTTTCTTTTGCAGGCTGTTTTCTGCCCCTTTTTTTTTATCTGTAACACGAGTCACCTCAAGAAATGGGTCTTGCTGCACTTATCACTTTATCGCAATCACACCAAAAAAATTACTGCCCAGTGGCTGCATGTATGTCGAGTAAAAAACTCTCCCCTGATGAACAATAAGAAATCACATGCATGGCTGATTTTACCTGAAGTAGCAGATATTGCGGCTGTTTAGTACATTGTACTTTAAAGCTGAATTGACTCCACAGTACACAAAGGTAAAGGTTTTATGAAGGATAAAATGTATTGTCCCATCAGGGGGCCTAAAAATATTTATCTGTTGAAATTGTTGCATTAAAACATTAGAACTGTTTACTTGTATATATTAAGGGTAGGCTGTAATTGCATTATTTTCTGCACAGCTAAAATGGGTATGTTAGGAAGAATGTCACACAACATTAATTATAAGTCCTGTTACATTTTTACCTTCAGGGCAGATGTCACACAATTGCAAACAGCCTTCAAATGCTGTTACCAGCTCATTTGCATAATACACCAAATAATCTTTTTGTGTTTTTTCTTTTTTAGGAATAAGACAACCAAAAAAGTTTACACCACCATTAATGAAAGTAAATGCATTAGAAAGCAAATCTCAAGGACCATATGCTTCACAGCATGGCATTCATTTTAACACAAAGGTGACACCAAACACAGGAAACACAAGACCAGTGAATGTGACAGCAACATATCCCTGGTTTTCAAGTGGTAACAAAAAAGCTCCAGGCACAGATTTTCTGCCTCCCGAGCAGAATCTTCTGCAAAGCCAAGATATCAGTGGCAGTCCAAGTTTGCTTCGAAGAAGGTAATGATTTTTTGTGTTTTTTGTGCCCCCAGTACGTTTATAGAGATTAGGTTAAGTGCACCAACATGTTGAGTATTTAGAGCATACATACACAAATAAAAATGCTGCACTTCATATAGGATACTTACACTATATACATTAAATACCAACCTATTGATCAGCTCATTTGATAAAACCTTTTCATTTGCTTTTCTAGTTTCTTTTTGCATATTGCCATATGAATGCAGCAAGTGTTTCAAACAGTGGTTGTCAATAGAGGTGCACCGAAATGAACATTTTAAAAACCAAACCGAAATGAAAAAAAGAGTCGAACTGAAACCAAAAATGTTTTTCTTCTAACTTTTTCAAATGTTTTCAAATATTTTATTTTTTATAAACGTATTTTTTTAATATTTATTTTTATGTATTTTTTACTTTTAGGGGCTACTGAGAAATATTAGGGGTCTGAGCCCTGATATTTTCCTTTTAAAATAGAAAAAGAGATTGAGAACACCTCAATCTCTTTTTCCGCAGCCCCAGTTATAAATGAACAGGAATCCTCTATACTGAGCGTTCCTGTTCATTCATAACTTGTGGAGATAGTATGTTTACCATGTCCACAAGCATGAATGAACAGGAGGTGATGTAGATCACAGAGCAGCGCCCAGCGGGCAGGATAGAAATCTTGGATGCACTGCTATTTCGTCCAAAAAATTGCACTTTGGCATTTTGCCAAAAGTGCCATTTTCGGCCGGTATGTTTCGGTGGCCGATTTATCGGTGCATCCCTAGTTGTCAATGTAGCTGATATAGGGGGCCACGCGTGCCGCCCTATTTTAGAATTTTCTCATTTAAACCCTTTATGAAAGCCCAGAGAAAAAATATCATAAAAAGAGAAAAGGGATGGATAGCACAGAAGAATTAAGAAAAAAAATGTGTAAATTAAATAACTCAAGGCTATGACTACCTGAACCCAGTCTGGTGAAATTCTCACAGTGAAAAAATAGATACATTTTGTAAAACTAAAATCCAACAGGATTCGCACAGCATTTTCTGTCAGGATTCATCCAATGTATTTATATGACATAAGATAGGTGAATCTTGGTAGTACAAATTAGGGATGCACTGAGTACGGGTACCGATAATTTTTTTTCGGTACTCGCCGATACCAATAACCGAGTAACGGAAGTCCCATTCAGGAATCCTGGTGGCGTGTAATGACTCGCCACCTGGCTTCCTGATTAGCCGGGAAGCGGGGCAGCGTGTAAAGATTCGCCACCCGGCTTCCCGATTAACAAGAAAGTCCCCTCTTACCTTAGTATGTGCACCCTGTAACCCCCGGGGCCTCTCTAGCGAGAACACGGCCTTCGTCCGGTACCCAGCTTGGAGCCGCCTGGCCGGCCAATCAGGAAGCCGGGCGCCGTGTAATGACGCGACACCCTGCTTTCTGATTGGCCGGGAGGCCGGCTCCATGCTCTCTTGTCATGAGATGACGAGGGAGCATGAAGCCAGCTTCCCGGCCAATCAGAAAGCAGGGCGTCGCGTCATTAGACGACGCCCGGCTTCCTGATTGGAGGCTCCGATTGGGTACCGGACGGAGGCCGCATTCTCGCTGGAGAGGCCCCCGGAGGTGACAGGCTGCACATACTAAGGTAAGGTAACCTTACCTCACGAGGCCAGCTTCCTGATTGGCCAGCTTCCTGATTGGCCGGGAAGTCGGCTTCATGCTCTCTCATCACAAGTGACGAGAGAGCATGGAGCCGCTTCCCGGTCAATCGCGAAACCGGGCAGCGTGTAATGACGCGCTGCCCGGCTTCCTGATACCGGAAGTACTCATGCTAGGCATCGGAGCATTTGGGTGAGTATGAGTACTTGCCCAAATACTCGGAATCAGCACCGATATCGATACTAGTATCAGTATCGGTGCATCCCTAGTACAAATCATGCCAGGATGAATTTTGATAGTACAGTAGCATCTTTTTTTCACCTTTGGACAAATCGATGTGAGTATGTTTGGATGAATCTTATTAAACAACAGGAATATCCTTCCGTTCATTTGCTGACATGCTTTCCATGGTGCTGAAATTGTGTTTTAGCAATAGGAGGGTTGATGAAAAATGTTACAAAAAACCTGTATGTCCCCCCACTACCAGAATGAACCAACCCGGAACACTAGGCAGGCACCCCCTGCTATGCCAATGCTAGCCCACTCTGCCAAAGCCTAATGCTGGCTGCAGGAGGGGCTGGCATTCGGGGCAAGGAGGTGGTTGTAGGCTCCTCAGTGAACTGGTTTTAGGGGTCCTGAAGACCCCTAACACTTTTTGCACACTTGTTCACTCAACTGTACAAGATACTGTGCATGCTAATATCAAGAAGGGCCAACTTTGATAAGCTGCGCAACCTAGTGGGGGAAATAAAATGGGAAAACTTATTTCAAAACCTAAACACAGACCAGATGTGGGATTGTTTTAAAAACACACTACATACTGCTACTTCAAAGTGTATACCATTAGGGAGCAAAAATAAAAGATCAAAGACTAAACCAATATGGTTTAATAAAACTGTAAAACAACACGTCAAGGACAAGAGAGCGACATTTATAAAATATAAGACGGAAGGGACGGCATTGGCGTTCCTTAACTACAAAGAATGTAACAAAAAATGCAAACTAGAAATCCGGGCAGCTAAAACTGAGTGCGAAAAGCATATCGCCGCAGATAGTAAAAAGAACCCCAAACATTTTTACCGATATATTAACAGTAAAAAGGTATGAAAGGAGCAGATATGCCCAATAAAGGATGAAAGCGGGAAGCTAGTCACAAACGACAAGGAGAGGGCCGAGGCGCTGAACGCTTTTTTCTCCTCAGTATACACTCAGGAGGGAAACGGGTTTGACACACATGATATGCTTTAGATTGAGCACGTTGCATTTGTTTCTCTTCTTTGTTAGTAAAGGTGTGCTATGTTTTTCCATTACCAAGCCAGAAACAACATTGCAGCTGGTCCCAGTAGCATGCCACAATTATCAAGGACAAGTCGATATCTTGCCACACAATGTGCTGCCCATGTCTGCCCTGCAATATCTATGTGCTGGCTGTATCTTCAGTTACCTTACAAATCTGCATTCCTTTTATTTGTTCAGCTTGTTTAGAACATTTGCAGAAGAACAAATGTTCACTTATAATAACTCCATGAACACTGAGAATTCCTGTGAAACTGACTCAAACAGACCCTTCTATCAAAATCCACTTAACCGCAGTGAAGATGACGTCTGTGGAGCCAGTGATGGTTTGGATGAAGAAACATTTTCCTTCCCTTCCTCTATAGCACTGCTTACAGGAAAAGGTGAAGATCATTTTGTTATAAGTTAGTGTTTTCACCTAAAAAATAATTATCTCGGGTAAGACATGTGCTAAGCTGTTTCCATCTGCTCCATACTGTACATCCTGCAGTTACCCCATATGTTCAGCCTCACATTGAAGGTATGGACAGGAAAATTGTTTCACTGAGATCAGGATGTGAGATGATGTTTGGAGAGCTTTGTCTACATTTTACTGTTAAATTATACACAGCGGTTTTGGGGTAGATTACATAAAATCTGGGCCACAAATTAATTTCCCTTTTATATATAAACACAGAATTGTAATTCAGTGATACAATTATTATAATTACATCCATTTGAAGTATGATTACATTACAATTATGATTACTTTAAGAGTGGGATTTTTTGGTGTTGTTATTAACAAAATTATATTTCACATACACACCGATCAGCCATAACATAATGACCACTGAGAGGGGAAGTGAATGTCACAATGGCACCTGGAAGTGGGTGGGACATATTAAAGAGCAAGTGGACATTTTGTCCCTGTAGTTGATGTGGTCCAAGGAAGGAAAACTGGTGAACCAGCAGCAGGGTCATGGGTGGCCACGGTTCATTGATGCACGTGGAGAGCGAGGGCTGGTCTGTGTAGTCCAAGAGCATAGAAGAGCTACTGTATCTCAAATTGCTGAACAAGTTAATGCTGGTTCCAATAGAAAAGTATCTGAACACAGTGCATTGTAGTTTGGTACATATAGGGCTGCGCAGCTGCAGACCAGTTAGGGTGCCCATGCTGACCCATATCTATTGCCAAAAGCGCCTACAATGGGTACGTGAGCAACAGAACTACACCATGGATTGATGGAATAAGGTGGCCTGGTCTGATGAATTGTGCTTTCTTTTACATTATGTGGATAGCTGGATGCATGTGTCGCTTACCTGGGGAAGAGGTAGCACCAGGATGCCCTATGGGAAAAAATCAAGCCGACAAAGGCAGTGTAACGCTATGTGCACTGTTCCGCTACGAAACCTTGGGTCCTGCCAGTCATGTGGATGTTACTTTGACATGTTCCACCTACCTAAACATTGCTGCTGCCCAAGTACATCCATTCATGGAAGGACATTCCCTTACGGCAGTGGCCTCTTTCAGCAGGAAAATGTGTCCTGCTACACTGCAAAAATGGTTCAAACAGGGTTTGAGGAACACAACAACAAGTTTGAGGTGTTGACTTGGCTTCCAAATTTTCCAGATCTCAAGCCAATTGATCATCTGTTGGATTTGTTGGAAAAACAAGTCGAATCCATAGAAGCCCCACCTCGCTACTTAAATGGTCTGCTATTGGCAGCTTGGTGCCAGATACCACAGCATACCTTCAGAGGTCTAGTGTAGTCCATGCCTTGATGGGTCATCACTGTTATGGCGGCATACTCAATATTAGGTGGGTGGTCATAATGTTAAGGTTGATCAGTGTATATCTAAAAGGTCATGCATTTATTGTACATATAGGTACTGTATATGCAAAAATGTAGCAAAACACATATACAGTGATACATAAGTTATTATTAGGTCCAATATATCTTAAATTGTTCTACCTAAAATAATTAATATCACATATTACCCTTTTCTGCACATAATCGCCCTTTATGATGATACAATCACCTTTACATGTCAAGAGAATTATTTTTTAGAGACAATTATATTCAACTTTCCAATTATGGTGTCAGGCATGAACTAGATCCATGATACTACACAATCAATGTCAGTTTGAAGTAAAAACTTTGTCAACAATAGGCCAACTGGTCAAGTTTTATTGGATTATAGATAAGCAGGATTTTTCTCTCCTGCACAAAGAACAATTAAAAGGTAAGCTGCAATATTTTTTTCAAGTTATGCCATGTGAACAAATATAAACTGGATACTGTCCCAATTTAGCTGCAAAAGGGGAAATACATTTTAAGCAATTATTTCTTCAGATGTAATGTAACACTTTAGTCAACATGAGAGGATGCTGAAAGGTTGCTCAATATCCTCTATAGTCTACATAGCTTGATTATTGCTTTAGTTGTTCAAATAGGTCACATCACTAAATAAAAAAGGCAGTGTGCACTCAGGCTTAATGAAGCTATCTGTGTCTAATGTTAGTGTTCATACATGTTCTAGTCTTTCTTTATACGCAATGGTATTAATAAAAATTATTTTAATGTTCAATTCAGCTGAGACACAATGCGGAATCCTGAGACCAGTTTCTGAAATTCGTATCCTTTTTCCGTTTGTGTGCAGTTCAATCTACAGCCTATCTCAGACCTTGACTTTACTATTAAAGGAAACATAGGAGCTATAGTTGTAAAGCAGCAGATGTGACATTCACTGAAGGAGTATCTTCCTGGTGCATGTGTTTTTAAATTACTGTGGTTGATTTACCTGCAGTAAATGTTTGCTGAATGTCACATTCATTACTTTATAAATGTGATTGTGTTTAAATTTTCTTTATTATGTTCAGGACTACACAAATACAGCTTTTGAAAATATGTTTTCCTCAGCATTTTTTTCCCAGTTATCTTGTGAAGCTCTAAGCTCAATTTCACATATTAAGCTGTCTTTTTTCTGCTGAAGAAAAACTATTGTATACATAACTCAGTAGATCAAGTTGATATTTACAAACACAACTGAATGATTCTGAGGAATTACTTATTCCTCTCATACTCTCAATGGCTGATCTCCTTACACAGGCTTTATGGAATTTCAAAAGAGAGTCTGAAAGCATACAGCTTCAACTGTGCACCTTCTCAGGAAAACCCATAATGGTTTGTAAAACCGCGCTCATGGGTGCACTCTCTAAATGTTTAATTTTAAAAGCAAGATTTTTTTTAAAGTAAAAAAGATAGAATGCCTTAGTTTAAAATGTTACTATTAAACAATTAAAATAAAATGATCAGAAATTATTGTAGTTTTAGTATTAAATAAACACTGAACACCTGTTTGTGGGATTTTATCTTTCTTTTGCTGGAGTTCTTAGTCAATTTTGTTTTGTAAAGATCATACTGTATATGCTGCAGTATTCCTGTTTTTATGGTAAAAACATCTGTGAATAACTAGAATGCAGATTTAGGTAGCCAACAGTTAATCGTATATCCAACGGACTGTAAATTCCTTATTTATGTAATTCATAAGACAAATTTGATGGACACTGCATTATTTTTTTATTTAGCATTTATAATTTTCCAAGGGTAGATAATCAATTTTCCTTAACATGTAAGCTAAACAATTCAGGGCAATCTTTAAAGAATTTCCTTATTTTAATTACATACAGTCAAAAGCCTTGGATGATGTATGTATTTATTGATTTCCTATCATGTTGTGTATATTTTAAAATGTAGAAATATTAAAGGATAGATACAACTTTAATACCGCCGACAGCAAGCAGCCTCTTCTATGCCCTCTGTAGCAAATGTCTAAATGGAACAATATACATAGAATACTTAGAAAGGCAAGTGTGCAATACCTGGCTTTACAAGGCCCAGCGTAGTATTCCTATATTATGGCACTACCAAGTCTGCTTTGACATATAGTTCATGCAAGAATACTTGCCATCCATAACATTGCTATAAGCAGTGAAGGCCATTATTTTGAAGTCTCTGAATTTGCTCTTCATGTCCATCATACTGGTATCTTATGAGAATATCTTTATTGGCTGTGGAGACACTCTCATGGGATAGTGAGATGGCAGGGACTAAGGCTGGGCTCAAAAGGGCCACTTGAACACTTGAGGGCCAGAGTTATAATTTGTGTCTCAGTTCAGGGGATTCCTACTGAAGAGAAGTTATTAAAAAAAAAAAGGTATCTGCGGATACCTTATAGTGCCTGCTGTTTCTTTGAAACGTTAGAAAAACTAGGGGACTGGTGCCTGGTGTTCACTTTAAGAATGTTTAATCTATGTGGTACCCTAAATTCTATTAAAGGTGAACCCCAGGCAGATATAAACTACGCAAATGAATGCAGCTGTGTATTCAATAATACTTCCTTAAATGTATATTTTGCATGCAAGCAGCCTAAGTACCTACATTTGAATTGGTATAAATCTCTTAGGAGTCTATTCACTAAGCTGCCGAAGGATCTAGCCGTAGCTTCGGCTGATCCTTCGGCTAGCTTTGGCCCCAGGACCCCTTCAGTTCAGTAGAACCAAAGGGCTGCTGTACGGGCTATTCACTATAGCCCGTACAGCTACCGAAGTCGGCCGAGTGGCTCATTCGAGCCGAAGGCATATGCTTCGGCTCGACTGAGCCGAGGTGAAAGCCGAAGCTGGCCGGACGGCCAGCCATTGGCCAGCCGACAGCCTGCTACTGACTGCTGGGCGGAGCCAGCCGTCATCTCACGGCTGGCTTCGGCCACTTACACAGACAGATCAGCGTCCCTGGTTACCAGGTAACCAGGGACGCTGATCTCCAGATAGCCCAACTCTCCTGGACGCTCCGGGAGTCTCCCGCTATTAGATAGCTGTTCACGGCCGCCCGGGAGAGATTCAATTTCTACGGGAAAGTTTTTTACTTTGCTCGATCGAGCAGAGTAAACCTTTCCCTGCTCTGTTGTCTTTTTTTTCCCATCTGACATTGGAGCCGTTGGCTGCCGTCAGATTAAAAAAAAAAAACCACAATAGGAATGCATAGCTACATTCCTATTGTCTATTTCAATTTGCAATAGCCAATGGCAAACTAGCTTTTGCACCCGCCCACTGCTGCTGTCAAACAGCAGAGGCGACCTGAAGTTCTCCATCAGGTCCCCTCTAGTGATTGACAGCAGCAGAGGGTGGGTGCAAAAGCTAGTTTGCTATTGGCTATTGCAAAATGAAATAGCCAATAGGAATCTAGCTATGCATTTTTATTCTGAGCATGTTCGGCCGACCCAAAGCCTCACGAAGCAAACCGATGTACAACCGACTTCAGCTGATATACGGCTAGAATCAGCCGTACAAGCCTGAAGTGAATAGCCGAACAGCGTTCGGCTCACTTCACTTCGGGTCGGTTGTTCACTTGGCTGCCCATGGCAGCTTAGTGAATAGACCCCTTAATCTCATACAATGAAGCTTAGACTGGCAGTGGGAGAAGCAGAGCAAGGAGAAAATTAGTTGTTCTGCAGTGCAAGGAGCATGCGGATAGAAGGAGAAAGCGGAATGACAAAGAGATGAAGTCGCCAGTCTGCTGCTTCTACTTTCACTGTCCAGTCACAGGGTGGGGTTGGTGAGGCAACCTTTAAGTGTTACTGAACTGCAGCAGAGAAAAATCAGGTCTCCCTCCCTGCTAGACAGTACTGTGTAGTATGGCAGAGCTGTGTAAACCTCAGGACTGTATAGTGGACAGAAATACAAATCCATATGCAGGTAAAACAACCTATATATGTAGGGCAGATAACACAACTCGTATATGTATTTTATCTGTGTCTTTAGCTATTAACTTAAGTTCAGCTTTAAAGTGTACCTGTGGGGACTTGTAATGCTGTCAAACTGCTGTTTGCTTGTTTTCATATTGGCAATTAAGGCTCTCCACCCCATTTATTACTCAGTAGGGAGGCAAAGGGCAAGTCAATGTACACCAACAATACACACCAACAATGTACACCTGCTGCAGAGTGCAGACACACTCTCTATTCCTCACAGGTTTGCATCAAGTATTCCACTGCTGAGCTTTAGAACTAAATTTTCTTTGTTTAATAAATTTTCTACCTAGCTTCTGTATTCAGATAAGAATTTTGTCATGTGTGCACCAACTGGATCTGGAAAGACAGTGCTTTTTGAAATAGCAATTGTTCGATTACTGATGGAAGTGCCAGCTCCTTGGACAAACATCAAGATAGTATACAGTGAGTATAAGAGAAGGGAAAAAGAAGAAAATCTGTTTTAAAATTTAAGTGGAAAGAAAACCTATCTATCTTTATCTATCTATCATGATAAGTCATGCTAATATTATTTCAGTGGCACCCATAAAAGCATTATGTGGCCAACGATTTGACAACTGGAAGGAGAAATTTGAACCGATTGGACTACAATGTAAGGAGCTGACAGGAGATACAGAGGTGGATGACTTATTTGAGATTCAACACGCTCACATTATCATGACAACTCCAGTAAGTAAATCAGTTAGTCATAGATGAGACTGTATCTTGCGAGATAACCCAAAACAAAATGTTAGTTTGAAAATACACAGCTTTTCTGCCAGTTGGTTTTGCTATTCATTCAGACATTCAAGTCCAGCCAACAATCAACATGTCACTGATTATGCACAATTCAAGTGTAATTTACTTATTTATACACCTGATAATTTAGAAATAAAGATTCACTTTACTTCTTTAGCCTATTACAATATAAGGGACACAATAGATGGACAGCACAGGGGCTCAGTGGATAAAGGGCTGAGATCTTCAGTTCAAATCCTGCAAGGACACTACTTGTAGGGCTTTTCCTTGTTCTTCCTGTCCTTGTGTGGGTTTCCTCCGACTATTGTAGTTTCGTCCCACACTGGTAGGTTAATAGGCTTCTGTCTAAATTGTCCCTTGTATGTATGCATATGAGTTAGGGTCCTTAAACTGTAAGCTCCTTGAGGGTAGGGACTAGTGTGAATGAATAGCATGTCAAGTGCTGCAGAAATTGAAGGTTCTACATAAATAAAAATAAAAAAGACGTGTCACGCTATAAGTAAACAATATTTCTCAGAGTATGCTACCGCAGCGATGCGTGAGAGCCTCAGTGAGTTACCAAGGAGATCGGGACGCCATTCAGAATTAAAGGGGAAGAGGACTTAAGGGGATCAAAGGGGATCAGGTCCTCACTTCGCCTGCCCGTTCCTGGCTCACCTTCCTCTGCTGGGAGTTTAGGACTGGCGAAAAACTGTCTCAGGATAGTGAACGGTGCTTGAACACCAGCATCAAATGACTTAACTAAAAAAAACTGAAGAGAGAAGTTGACTGGTTGCCCTGGGCAACTGCTCCAGATTTTGTCTGCTCCAGTTATTATAAATTCCCCTTTCTGTCTTTATAATCTGTTTTCAGTCTTTCTTTTTTCTTTTACTGGTCTTTGCACAAAACTAGGAAACTAAAAAATAAATCAGACATTCCATTTTTATGTGTTGCCATAAACTACAATATAAAATAGCCAGAAAGGAATGGCAGTGGAACTGCAACATGTTGTGTTTTTAAAGGGAAAGAAGGAAAACATAGTCTTGATGTTTATGTGAACAACCTGGCAAATGAAAGGATATCTGTATCATTGCCCAGTTTCTATCTTGCTTTTAGAAAACAAGGAATTATCAAAGTGTATTTATAGCAACAACTTTCTGTTTAGTTTTGCAATGAGTCTGGAAGGGTTAAAACCCCTATCAGGTCAGTTTTTGCTATTTTCTGCTGGGGAGATTTCCCTACACTTTCTTTTCCTGTAAATTATAGGAAATCTCACCAAACTTAGGGGATTTCTCATCTTAGACAGTTGTCACTGTATCATTTGTCCAGATTTACTGCTCCTGCTTGCATCTGCGTAGCAGGAGTACAATAATAACTTGACAAAAGGTCTAATCCTTGCCCACTCTATTTACTACTAAAAATAAAAGTTTTCTTTTTACATACATTTTAAGAACAGATCAAATGTGGATAACAAGGCTGTCCATCTACACTTATCCTTAGGTCTCACTTACACTAATCGCACTTACTTAACCCCTTCATGACTGAGGCCCTTTTTTCAATTTTTGCACCCATGTTATATTCCACATTTTAGACCTGAAAATGACGTAAAACCCCCCAACATTATATATTTTCTGAATGCCAAGACCCTATAGAATAAAATGGTGGTAGTTGAAAATTTTTATGTTGCGCAATATTAGCGCAACTCCTTATTAAACCCCAAAATTTAGTGACAAATTTAATTAAATGCCCCAAAACACAACAAATTACCCATTAGTGCACTGTACTGGAATAAATGTAATTTTAATAAATTGTGCAGTTAATTGATGTAAATAAACTGATAGATGATGAACAAAAACTGAGGTAAAAAAATGCTACTACTTTTATTGTACCTGGATTCATGTCATGTTGTCCTTGGCTTATAAAAGTATAAAAGCTGCTTTTCAACTAATTTATGTGGTTGTTTAGGCTTATGTTCTTTTACATGCATTTAGTATGCAGGCAGGTAAAGTCGAACTGATTTCAAAAAGTGAAGATTTGCTATGTTATACAGAACATTTAGAAATGTAAATTTTTCCTAAGCAGAACCCCGAAAAATTTACCTTTTTGTCTTTATTTCTTCCTGATAAATAGCAGAGCACTTCCTGGTATGTGAAGGTGCCAATGAACCCCTGTGCCTACAGTCGCATAGCTGTGTATGTACAGTGTGAGATCTCAGAAGATTATCAAGGTTATTCACAAAAGGGTGAAGAGTTTGGAGAAGGCAGGATAAGTGACCAATCTAGGACAACATATCTGAACCAGAAAGTGAGCTGAATCAGAGAATTCTTCCAAATCAGCTATTTTGGCCTAGATTGTTCACTTCTCCTGCCTTCTCCAAACTCTTCACCCTTTTGTGAATAACCCTGTTAGAGTGAGTTTTGTTGATGTCACTACTGTGCTGCTCACTCTTCTCCTTCCTAGAGACCCAGACATAAGAAAGCTAATTCCTGCCTTTACCTAGATGGCCACCTCCACCCAGAAACACAGGGCAGAACAAGGCATTGCAAAGTAAGTAATCAGCTGCAGGGAACCCACAAGCAATACTGGTGACCAGTACTTTGCCCTCTGCCTACTTCATTTGTAGGCACAGCTTCCAAGGTTCAGTTCCTCGTTTAAATGCATTTACATGTTACATGCAAATATTTGTTTCCCTACAAAACACTCTAACGCAAAATGTAGATACTTGCCTCCATGCACAACCAGGAAAAGGCATTGTACAGAATATACTGCAACACAAACTGCACAATATTTTAGCACATGGTACATTAATGAAGGTATAGGCTGCTCAAATGTCTACTTACTCCTAATTATGCATACTTGACATCTATTTATTTTTTCTAAATCCAAATGATGTGTTATGCCATTTAGGAGAAATGGGATTCCATGAGTAGAAAATGGAGAGACAATACGTTGGTTCAGCTAGTTCGGCTCTTTCTTATAGATGAGGTAATTGTGCAAAGAAAAAAAAACTTAATTAAACAAGTCTAGATATGTTTAGACATTGAACGTCACATAGCTATCTCTTACCCAGATGACAATAAGGTCTGCGTTTCCATATTATTGCAGCAGTTTTATGTTTACAATTACAGGAAATAATATAGTCAGTCATAAGAAGCTTTACTCTTTTGCATGATGGTTATGGTCAGTGTCCCCACCATGACCAAAATGCACTTGTTTGCCTATACTTGTCTCCATGTGGATGAAAAGTCAAACTCACCAAAAATTGTAAATCACACATTGCAAAAAACATATAGCCACAGTTAGTAAAAGAAACCCCAAAAAATTCTACCAATACATAGACCAGATAGGTCCAATAAAGGACAAAAACGGGAACTTAGTCACAAACGACAGGGAGAGGGCCGAGGCGTCGAATAATTTTTCTCCCCAGTACCCACTCAGGAAAAAGACGGGTTTAATGTGCATAAGAAAACACATAGTTCAACACAAAATATACCTCAGTGGTTGACGGAAACCGGTATACAACATAGGCTTAAACTACTTAATGCAAATAAAGCATTAGGACCAAATAACCTGCACCCTAAGATACTTAAAGAACTAAGCCAGGTTATAACGAGACCATTATTCCTAATTTTTAAGGACTCCTTAATGACTGGTAGAGTACCAAGCGACTGGCGGAAGGCTACAGTAGTACCAATATTGAAAAAGGGGTCAAGATGCCAACCTGGGAACTACAGACCAGTTAGTCTTACATCGCTAGTTTGCAAACTGTTAGAGGGAATGATTAAGGACTACTTAGTAGAATTTGTTCAGGATAATGGCATAGTAAATGATAACCAGCATGGATTTAGGAAGGACCGTTCCTGCCAGACTAACCTGCTAACTTTTTTCGAAGGGGTAAGTAGAGATCTGGATGGAGGGAGGCCGGAGGATGTAATATATCTGGATTTTTCAAAGGCTTTTGACACGGTACCACATAAATGCTTACTACACAAGCTGCGATCCATGCGCATAGAAGAATTAGTGTGTACGTGGAAAATTGGCTACAGGAACGTGTACAGAGAGTATCGATAAATGGCACCTTTTCAGAGTGGGCTAGGGTCATGAGCGATGTGCCTCAGGGTTCTGTGGTGGGCCCATGCTATTCAACCTGTTTATTAACGATATTGGGGAGGGTGTGAATAGCCATGTTTCAGTGTTTGCTAATGATACCAAAATCGGGAGGGTAGTAGAAACGGACTTAGACAGTATAACATTACAGGAGGACCTGGATAAAATAGGGGAGTGGGCAACTATATGGCAGATGAGGTTTAATGTCGATAAATGCAAAGTAATGCACTTTGGGGATAAAATAGGAAAATGGGCTATACAATTATAGGTATGCCACTAGGGAAGTCAGACATGGAAAAAGATTTGGGGGTCATTGTAGATCACAGACTAAATAATAGCATGCAGTGCCAGGCTGCTGTAAACAAAGCAAGTAGAGTCCTGTCCTGTATTAAGAGGGGAATGTTTTGCAGGGACAGGTCTATAATTTCCCATAACGTCTTCCAGGACAGCATCACGAGATGGAATCTCCTCCCCCACACACAGGAAACACGTCACTTAATCTGTTTAAAAGACCCTCCTCTCCTCCACTCCCTCAGTCTTTTGTGTTTCCTCAGTCAAGCTGGGGAGCGCGTCACAGAACGCTGAGAGAGGGCTTCCATGTGGTGATGCTGCCCGGGAAGTCTTCCTTGT